AAACAGGAAGGAACCGACGGGGATCCATCCGTCTGCAAGAACAGCTACAATAACCCCGCCTACTACATCCTGGAGGGCGTTCCTAATCAGTCGGCCGCCGCTCTTTCAGCCGAGCTTCTTCCATCTCCTACCTCCTCAAACCCCCAGGTGACTAAAGCCCCTATTCCCTCAGCTGGAGCTCGAACCAAGCCCCCCTTTGTGGCCTCGGGGCCCTCTCACACACGCAGACCCACCACAGGGCACCCGGTCCGCGCTATAAGCGAGGAGGGGTCGTCAGAGGACGATGGGGGGGCCTGTGTAGCAGCAGCGCAGGGGGTGAATGTCGGGACAACAGTTGGAAGCACGCTGAACCGCCCCCCTCCTGACTTCCCCCCTCCTCCTCTTCCTAAGGGGGCCGTGGAGATGGTGGCAGAGACCCCCTTCTCCATACATCGCGCTCTTTACCCAGATCTAGCCGAGGTCAGGATCCCAGCAGCCAGTCCTGCAGCCCCGCTGGCACTCGGGGAGGGTTTCAGACGAGGAGGAGGGGGAGGGGGAGGTTCGGGGGCGTTGGACGACCAGTCGTGTTCGGTGCTCCAGATGGCAAAGACACTGAGTGAGAGTGAGTTTTCTGGGCACCCTCCACGCGCTCCGTCTGCGCCGCCGCTCAGAGGGCATCCGATGGGATTAAATCTGGACGCCTGTAGAACTTTCCCGCCCAGGAATGCCATCACAGAGAGTATCGCAGAGGATATGCCAGAGGAGGTGAGCACTTTGTTTATTTATTTTTAAATGTAACGCAACCATGAATGCTTTGGCAGATGATGGGATTAAAATGTGTCTTGTTTGGGTTGTCATGAGTCATTTCTTCCAAGCTATCCCATTTTGTGTACAAAAAACACCAATCTCTTCAATTCGGGAATAACCCAGCTACTTATTTTCTAGAATGTTATGTAAACGCCTCTATCCAGTCATTGTTACGATCATACTACAGGAACTGGATCCCTTTCCTCTTATACTCTTATTCTCAGACTGAAGAAAATGTAGCCCTTCCCAAGCGATATATTTGATCTTTAACTGACTTTCGACATTGCTGACTAATGTTTTGTGGAAGAGCTGCAATGTTCCTACAGCAGTTTTGAGTAAATCCTGTATTTCATTTCCCCTGCGCAGGCACTTTGGGGCAGCAGTAGCTCCTCTCTGTCTGTCGGGGAATCCTCCGTGGCAGAGTGGCTGCAGAGACTGGGACTAGAGAGGTATGAGAAGGGCCTCCTACACAACGGCTGGGACGACCTGGAGTTCCTCAGGTACATACACTCAGACATGTTGAATTTCATGTTTTGCTGCATGCTTTAGTCCTGTTGATGTAGATGGAAGGTAGTTAACAGAAAAACAATCTAAGTGCAGAAACCTGTGTGGGATTTAGAAATAAATATCTACTGTTATTTTCTTAAGTAAATCATTACTGTTGAGTAATAGTAATTGTTTTTACAGTGATATCACTGAGGAGGACCTTGAGGAGGCGGGAGTGCTCGACCCCGCCCACAAGATGATCCTGCTGGAGAGCCTGAGGCAGCAGCAGCCTCTGAAATAAACTGTTTCAAACCGGCCTGTTTCACCGGGTGCCAGGAGGCTGAACTGAACTGAACTGAACTGAACTGAACTGAACTGAGCTGGAACGTGCCAATTAATGCCAGACTGTGCCTTCTGTGAGAAATTGCACTTCCATTTGAAATTTCGAAAAACACTTGTAGAGTTACCATCTTTATTTTCCACTTGTACTGTATGTGTGCTGTCGTAGAGGTGGCCTTATTTAATGAGAATCATTTCAGTCCTTCCAGCGTCACTACATAACCCTCTTCTTGAAACCTCGTGAGAAGATGCATAGTGAGAAATATCATTTTTGCTGCTGCCTTGATGTTGTGCCATCACTTCTGACCTGCAGCTAAAGCTGGCGTTAAAGCTTGTTTGTTTTACCCTGAGAAACGTTCATTTACAGAGTCTGCTGAGTTTAAGACTCCTTGATATAGGAAATGAAAATAGGGCTTTTTGGAGGAAAACCAGAGCTTTTTCCCCCACAAACGGTCATATGGGGGAAATTGTGAGATAGCACTCAAGGGTAATGTTGACGTTTAGCTTGCGTAGAGGAACACTTGGGACAGGAAGTGGTGACAAAAGAGGATCTAGCCTTCACTCATGTCAGACTAAAGCTCGCTCAACTTGCATTTCTCAAATGTTGTACTTTTGTGTTAACGTTTGGGCAATTGTTGTTTAAATAATGGCATTTATTGTCTCAGTGTCTCTGCATGTATTTATGGTTTTATGTTTTTGTTGTGTTTAATGATAAAGGGAATATGGAGCAAACCGGTCCTGGGAGAGCTAATAGGTTATATTTAAGTGCCTGTGTTAGCCATTAGCACCCACAGTATGTTCACACTCAACACTGACATTTCATCTTTTTTATCTGAAAAAGTGTTTGTTTGATCATCTAAAAAATCTACTTAGGCTACAAAAGTGTACATAACGTAACAAATGTTGTACCAAAATGAAATATCCCTTAAAATGCTTGACCTAGCACATTTCATGCTCACACTTTAATTGTCTGTACATTTCAATTTACAGAAGAAGACATTTTGGAAACTAATGACCCAGGTTTGATGGGGTAAATGTCACATATTTCACTCGTTTTTTAAATGAGGCCGTTTTCAGGGAATTGGTTACCTTAGCCAAATAGATTACTTCTAACTACTAATGATTACTATACAAATCATTTACTAAGCAATCATATTTCCATTTCTAAAAAGGAAAATATTTGTCATGAAACATAATTGCCTGTAAAACAGTCTAAAGATTTTTTTGTTTTGCTGATTTAATCTGGCTCATTTGTTAAATTACTACAGACACAGACTAATGTAGGGTCATTAGATATTTTTCTAATCTCTTATGAGATTTCACCTCATAATACGTTAACAACGGAAATGTCAGATTTCTGCAGGACGCAGGTGGCTGTTGTTCCCTGATGTGCCCAGCAGGTGGTGCTGCTACTCTATAAACACTATCAGATGCTTACTATGGAAACTGGGGAAATAAGACAGAACTAAGTCATCTTCAGTGAATGGTTTGTTTGTTTATAAATGTTTCCTGTGCAGTTACAATCATAGAGCTAACATACCAGTTAGTGTTCACGTTGCCTTGTTTTGTTCTTAATTTAAATCCTGCCTCTTTTCTTCCTGTGAAGCCAGTTTGTTTTAAGAGATGCTGAGAACTCTAAACTCTTTTTCCTAATTAGGACTAAATATGTGATTGTAGCAGTTTGTATTCATTTCTGTTTCTCCTATTTCTTTGTGACCCAATGACATCCTTTAATTATGTTGCCCACATACAGCCTTACAAGTCTCAGCCACGGGCTTGTGTTATGTGTTGCACACTTTGTCTAATTTTCTAACAGTCAAACAACCGTAAGGCAGAGAATGTGGTTTAGTCTTGTTAAATCTGATGTCTTTTCAAGCCTCTTTGGCTTCTCTGTTGTGTGTGTGTGTGTGTGTGTGTGTGTGTGTGTGTGTGTGTGTGTGTGTGTGTGTGTGTGTGTGTGTGTGTGTGTGTGTGTTTCAGAAGCGGGAGGCATTTTGCCAGCTGCTGCAGCTGATGAAGAACAAACATTCCAACCAAGACGAGCCAGACATGATTTCCATCTTCATTGGCACCTGGAATATGGGTCAGACACATTTATTATGTCTTCACATTAGGTGTTATTTTCAACATAATGTTAATAGCAAAACACACTGGCTTATACATTTTCACAAGTTGCTTCAAAGATAACACAAATATATGAATTTCCAGGGCATGACTAGTATTTTTGGAAGACAAAGTAACATTGTGTCTTTGTTTGTAGGCTCAGTGCCCGCTCCGAAGTCTCAGGCCTCGTGGGTGTTGTGTCGCGGCCTCGGGAAGACTCTAGACGAGATGACGGTCACCATCCCTCATGACCTTTATGTGTTTGGAAGCCAAGAAAACTCTGTGTGTGACCGGGAGTGGGTGGAGTCGCTGCGTGCCTTATTGAAAGAACAGACGGAACTGGATTATAAACCGGTGAGGAAACAAAGATTTGATAAGCTGTCAAATGATTTGAGCTTGATCAAATGTACTGTATGTATTTAGGTCCTGAGGCTAAGTTGAGACAAAGAAAGAAATACCAATGTTGACTCTAGGCTTGTTCTTGTTATTGGTTGTAGATCGCAGTGCAAACTCTGTGGAACATAAAAATTGCTGTGTTGGTGAAACCGGAACACGAGAACCGGATCAGCCACGTGGGAATGTCCAGTGTCAAGACCGGCATCGCCAACACATTGGGTAACAACAGTTCTCTATATTCAGTCTTTATTCTTCCTCTATATGTTTTACCTTCTGAACAAAATCCAGAGGAAAATAACAACAATGGAATAACAGCACGATGAAACTCTGACTTTCTTCTATAATGGATTTCATTACTTCATCTCTTACTCACTAAAAATGTGAATTGGATTTAAAAGAAAACACACGGTATCTCATTGAGTAAATGCAATTACTATAATATAAACTCTGTAAAATGAACTCGTAAAGAAGTTAACTAAAGATTCTGATAGCAGTGTTTTTATTTTACATTTTATTGACAGGCAATTTATTCAACAGGATCAAAATGATTGTATGTTCTTGTATTTGAACACGTTCAAGCAATTACAGTTGATTGCTGTAATAAATGTTTGTTTGTTTGTTTTAGGGAACAAAGGAGCTGTGGGTGTGTCCTTTATGTTCAATGGGACATCTTTTGGCTTTGTGAACTGTCACCTGACATCAGGGAATGAGAAGATTGCCAGGTACCTCCCACAGTCCTGCACACACATTATTTATGTTTTTTTTAATTTCAGGGTATTTTACCTATTAACCCTTACATTTGGACACTTACTTTGTGGTTGATACTTTGACAGTGCCTCAGTAAACCTCCAAAACAACAGTCATTACTTCTTTACCTGTGACACAAAATGACTTTTGACACACTTTTACTGTGTGCCAGAAAACATCACACATTACACTTTTACCTCTTATTATCTGTGACACATGTGACCTTTGACCCATACAGGAGGAACCAGAACTACCTAGATATCCTACGCCTGCTGTCGCTAGGAGACAAGCAGCTGAGCTCCTTCGATATCTCACTTCGCTTTACACACCTCTTCTGGCTGGGAGACCTCAACTACAGGCTGGATATGGACATACAGGTGAAGCAGAACACACACACACACACACACACACACACACACACACACACACACACACACACACACACACACACACACACACACACACACACACACACACACACACACACACAAGCTTAATTTTGTGGCTCTGTGTCTATTGTGTCTGTGCAGGAGATTTTAAACTACATTAACAGGAAGGAGTTTGAGCCCCTGCTGAAGGTGGACCAGCTCAACCTGGAGAGGGAGAAGAACAAAGTATTTTTACGCTTTGGTGAGTATGCCTGTGTTTCTACCAGACAGTCTTTCTATCTGTCTTCCAGTGCTGTTCACCCCCTCTCCCTGTGCATAATGGAATTGATATCGCAAGTGTCTCAAAGATTAAACATTTGTCAGTTCTTTGTAAGAAACAAATACTGAAATGTTTCAAATCAAGTGGCAAAAAAAAGTCTGTGAATGTTCATGTTTTAAAAAAAAAATCAGTCAGCTTTTCCTACAAAAAAAGTGGCTTCTTTCTGCGGCACAAATGCAACTCCCACTTAGTGTGTGAAAGAGAGAGGTTGTGTTTTGTTTCAGCAATTGTCCGTTTGTTTATTCTCAATTCAGTGTTTATCATATTTATTGATATTTGTTAAATGGTTTGGGCCTTTCCACTCACTTGCTTCGAGTCCTAACAAGTGAGTGTGTGTCTCCTGGCTTGCAGGGGAAGAAGAGATCTCGTTCCCGCCCACCTACCGTTACGAACGTGGCTCAAGGGACACGTATGTGTGGCAGAAGCAGAAGGCCACTGGGGTTTGTTTACTTACTGATCAACATCACAGATAGACTTCCTCTTAGCCGTTTCTGACAACTGATAACCCTGCTGCATCTTCCTTTTTACTGTCTGTCACAGATGAGGACTAATGTTCCATCGTGGTGTGACAGGATCCTGTGGAAGTCTTACCCAGAAACACACATTGTCTGCAACTCCTATGGTGAGACCACCAGCAGAAAAGAATCAAGCACATTGTAATTGATTGTATCAGATGTCCCTTTTTTTTCTTAATCTTTTAAGCCACTTTCGTCTACACATTGTTAATATGGGCTTTACGGAAGGTTATATGATTGATCAACAAGGAGACCTACTGAACTATATTCTGCTTTGTTTGTCAGGATGTACGGATGATATAGTGACCAGTGATCATTCCCCTGTGTTCGGCACCTTCGAGGTGGGGGTGACGTCCCAGTTTGTCTCCAAGAAAGGTACTGGTGAAATACTTCTGTTCTTGCTCTTCCTCAGGCTGTAAATACATGATTTGAACATAACCATATCAGCTTATTTTTAAAATAGAGTGTGCACGTCTTGGAAATGTAATGATGAGTTCTTGTTTTCCAGCTCAAATCTAGACAGTATGTGATGTATTTCTGTAGTCGGGTCAATGACTCACAGCTGAACAAAGACCAGAAAGCAATGAGTTTGGCAGAACAGAAAGGAAAATCAAACGGCACCCTGTTACTCATTCTGCCTGTTTGTTCATACTTTGTTCTCTAAGGTTGGCAGATGTAGCATCACAGCTTTTGTTTCCCCCGGATTAGGGATGTGAATGCCGTTAGTATATTGTTACTGATTAAAATGTACGATATGCAAAATGTTTTTGGCTAACTCCTTCTGCATATGTCTTTAATTTTGTTATTCTCATTTATACGTGCTATTTGCGCCACTGGCTAAGATCTCCCCCCATCCTTTCCTTCCATCTTGTCTCTTTGTAGGTCTACCAAAGTCTTCAGAGCAGGCCTACATTGAGTTTGAGAGCATTGAGGCCATAGTGAAAACGGCGAGCAGAACCAAGTTTTTCATCGAATTCTACTCCACTTGTCTGGAAGGTGAGAAAAGCACGTGTTTGCAGGAACTTTCTGTAACCCCAAGTGGGTGTAATTAAAAAGTGTGTCTGTTTTTTCCTTTCGTATGTCTCCCTTCCTCCCCTATCTCAGGCAGTCAGTATACCTTTAAGCTCGAATCCATTTTTGACCTGTGCTGCATCCCCACCTCCTCTTAACCATGTACCTTTGAATGAATCATCTTCCTTCTCTCCTTCCTCCTTATTCCCTTTGTTGTCTCCCCCATCCCCTCTGCCCTGCATCCCTCTCTCTGTCTCTCATCTGTAGAGTTTAAGAAGAGTTATGAGAACGACAGTCAGAGCAGCGACAACGTCAACTTCCTGCGTGTGGGCTGGTCCAACAAGCAGCTGACGACGCTCAAACCTCTTCTCTCAGAGGTGGAGTACCTGCAGGACCAACACCTGCTGCTCACTGTGAAATCCCTGGACGGATACGAGTCCTACGGTATAAAGAGAACGTTTTTGTTGTTGCTGTGAAGTTCTTTGAAGTTGACTTTTGGTCTGACAAACAAGCATGTCTGTGGTTTTTTCCCCTGCTAGGAGAGTGTGTGTTGGCTCTGAAGTCTATGATTGGCAGCACACCGCAGCAGTTCCACACCTACCTGTCCCACCGTGGAGAGGAAACAGGAAACATCAGGGGGTTAATGCGGGTCAGAGTCCCCTCTGAAAGGATGGGAACCAGGGAGGGACTCTATGGTAATGCACTTTCTATGCCACTGTGATGAAAAGAACAGAAAACTTGAGTTGGAGAATTTAATAGACGATAATTAAAATGAATCTTAGTTCTAATGAGTGCAAAGGAAATATGTAAAGGAAGCAGTTGAGACAAATGAAAGGACTTCGAAGCTTTGGGAGTTTGAAAACATGAAAGAGAAATTATGCAGTTTGACTATTTTTGTAATCCTACAGTCAATTTTGTTATGGTTGTATTTCAGAGTGGATCAGTGTGGACAAGGATGAGACGGGTGCCCCTAAAGGGAAATCCACTTTGGCATCCAGAGTGGGACATGAATACATAAAGTCAGTACACTTTACTCTTTTAATTTGATATGTGATGTGGATTTATAGGGAACTGCAAAAAAGCTGAATGTTTTATTACAATTATTATCCTTCTGCATTGATGTACATGGTGTTACGTAAAAAGTTTTGCGAACGAAAGAATAAAGGTTTATTAAGGAAAAAAGTGGGGTTTGCTAGTGTATAAAAATAAAAAAAAATAAAAAAAAGGTCTTAAACGAAAAGAAAAATTGATTAAAAAACGTAAGAGTGGCGTGCTCTAACGTTAATAAACGCATCTGAAGACGAAGTTCTGCATCAATTAATACTTCAATAATGGGATGAGGCTATTGATTAGGCTCCGTTATTACCAGTTATTATTATAATATGTATAATTGTATAAATATTCAGAATTTCAATGTTGGCCGGGAAACTCACGTTGGTATTAAGTTACACCGGCGCGCTACTTTACCTCAAAACTGTGGGACTAGTATTTGTGAGTAATTTCGATGGTTTACCCTGGTAATAAGTCGTACGAACCCGTGTAGTCCTTTGTTTTACCGCTTGTACTAGTTATTTCAAGGAGAGGAAGGGTTATATTTACTAATAAGAAAATGTTTTATTGTATTACTACTATGTACTGCCATAAGAACGTAACATGTATCTTGTTTTTACCTATCATGTTCCGCTTGTTTGTAGTTATGATTATATTTTAATTTTGCTTAGTAGGTTTTATGTAAGCGGGGTACAATAGAACATAATAGCAACCATATAAGAGTTATTACAGTATTACATGTCCGTCTTTTGGTACCACAAATGTTATTNAACAGTCAAACAACCGTAAGGCAGAGAATGTGGTTTAGTCTTGTTAAATCTGATGTCTTTTCAAGCCTCTTTGGCTTCTCTGTTGTGTGTGTGTGTGTGTGTGTGTGTGTGTGTGTGTGTGTGTGTGTGTGTGTGTGTGTGTGTGTGTGTGTGTGAAAAAGACGCCCCATTGTTTTCGCTGACTTTTTCTTGTTCTTTCATGTAGTCACCTCTTTTTTTTAATGTTAAGTTAATGTTTTGTTTGCCGATGTCTTTTTTTCAATTAAAATCTAATATCTTAACTTTTTTCCTACATTTGCTCATTCTTCTTATTTTTGTTGTTGTCTGCGGGGAAAGCTGAGGGGATGTGACAGTAATGGTTTGTGAGCTGTATACCTGCCTCATGGCAGGAAAGGGAAAGAGTGTACGGTAAATAAATGACAGTCATTTCAGTTTTTATTTAATCATGATTTCAGGGGCATGTCCTTCCAGTGTTCATGAAAACAGATTTGTTAGTTTCTGTGGTCTGCACATAACACAAAATACTCTCATCACTTTGTTACACACAAGAAACCAGATCATAAATGCGTCACGTAGTGCTTCCATAATGTTTATTATAATATTTAGAGTAGTGCTATAACTTCTCATTCACTAGAGCTTCTGTTGATTCATAGTTTTCATGGACGTGTCGGTCTGTGGGACAGATGCTCCGCAATGAAATAACTCTTTAAAGCAACATGAGAGAAATCAACAAAAAGCTACCTAATATTTATTATATTACTAATTTACAGTCACAAAATGTCATGGAGCAGTTCAAAGAAATGTGTGGGTTTCCTCACTGACATAATAAAGAATATTAATAAATACATGTTTTTTTCCCCTTTTAAGAAGATTTCTGTAGTCTTTCTTCAAAAGGTCCGCTCTGAAATCAGTCTTGTTTCAGAGATTAGCTTCAAAAAGAAAGATAGATGATACACAAGCAATTTCGCAAGGTGAGAGAAAGAACAAACAGCTGATTTTTTGCAAAAAGGGATGGACGTAAACGGGAACAAAATCGAGGAATCAATGGATACACAGTAGAAAAGTCCCGTAACTGTCTGCATCTCTCTTTATATTGCCAACATTAGACCAGCTTGCTTTGCATTACTGAAAAAATTGTCCCATATGTGTCAGCCTTTGTAGAGTTAATGGAAAACTCATGAGAGAGTCAAAGTCAGTGAAGGGTTTTAGGTCTGTTTGAGTTCGTAAAACAGACTCAACAAACTCAGTGCTTTCCAATCTCCAGCAGGAGAATCACCAGAAAACTCTTCAGTCAGTGATGAAAGCGAGAAACCAGTTGTAGTCAGTTTTAATTAGATTGTGGGTAAACTCTGCTCGGTGTATTATTACATCTTTCACCCCTCTCCACCAAGAGAACAGGCAGGAAACGGCACCGTGCCTTAAGTTCTCCCTCAACATTCGCTTGATTAATTTAAACAAAGTGCCCACTGTCTGATAGAGAAAGGCTGGAGTGAAGGGAAGGGACCAGTGAGGGGGTCACATTGAGGATGGTAGAGGGAGAGTCAGGACTTGATACAGTAAAGAGGAAGGGTTGAACTGGGGAGGTGTTGTATTTGGAGCCTGCAGCTCTAATTGGATTTGTGGGGTGCTTTGCTCTGCTCGGCAAAGAGATTTAAGGGGACCCTGTTCCCTTCTGCTGGGAGACTGTGTCGAGTTGTGCTTGAGGGTGAAAGTTTGTTTGTTTTGTTTCCTGAGCCGCTGCTCAGGCTGTCCAAGGCTCTGTTGCAATGCAGAGAGTGTGGGAATGTGGGTTTATGTGTGAAGGACTGAAAAGACGAAGAGGAAACAAGACTGTGTACGAAAGTTTGCGCTGTTGCAGAGCCTGTACATAAAGAGCGTTCCATCATTAAATACTGTCTTTTAAGGTTATTTGAGGACGTATGAATGGATTTTTGGATGAAATTGAAGGAAGTTATAGAAGGAAGGAAATTGACTATTTTCCGAGTTTTTCAGTAGCAGTTGCATAATATGTTTAGAGATGGTGACCTGACCTTTGACTTTATGTGAGCTTTGAATTTGACGGGATAGTTTTACAGAGAAGAACCAAGGGCTTTTCTGAACTACAGCAGACTACACCTGTGAATTCAGCGTTATAATGGGTAAGTCCTGACTCTCAACAAAAGCTAGAAACTCCTCACTGTTCCAGTGGACAGCATAATGTTTGTTTCTCATTTCCTCTTCCTCTGGGCTTCAGAACAGGTTCGTCTTGATGTTGGGGTTGGGTTTTCTGTGGAAGGAGGACAGGACTCCGGCAAAGGGCCCGGTCATACTGTCTGCCGGCTGCCAGGCCTTCAGAATCTCCTGAGTCTGGGCGGCGGGCTGGGCCACGGCTGGGTTGGAGGGCCCGAGGTTGGACCAGCTGGGCGGCTTCAGCCCCTGCAGCACCGGAGAGTTGGAGGCGTTGATGTAGCCGCTGTTGGCAGGAGCCGGGCTGGGGCTCAGGCTGGCAGGGCTGCCCATGTTCCCATTTGCCGAGCCCGGCAGGGAGGCCGTGCTGTCAGGCGTGGGGCTGCAGGTAGACTCTTTGGACTCGTCATCATCGGATGAAGATCTCAGCTCTCCGCCCTTCTTCCCTCCTGAGCTGCTGCTGGAGCTGCTGCCCGTGGTACCGTTTGAGTTGTTGGCCTTTGAGTTGGCTGCACGCTCCTGCTTACGAAACTTAGCACGCCTGTTCTGAAACCACACCTGTAAAAAAGACAGGGATACAGTTAATATGTGTAAGAAACACAAGATAGGCTATAGATGGATGGATAGATAGATAGATAAATAAATATGGAGATAAAAAGATATATCATTATAGAGATATGTAAATGATAGATAGGCCTAGATGGATATAGATATAGATAGATAGATAGATAGATAGATAGATAGATAGATAGATAGATAGATAGATAGATAGATAGATAGATAGATAGATAGATAGACAGATAGCTCTAAATTCCATAGTTTTCCTTTGCTTGAGTTGTGTTTAATTTATTCTACCTGAAACTCTCTTCATGTTTAAGAAAGCAGAAGAATAAAAGCTGCTGCTCTCACCTGAACCCTGGCCTCGGTCAGGTCTATCTTCAGCGCCAGCTCCTCCCGGGTGTAGATGTCCGGGTAGTGCGTCTCGGCAAAGACCCTCTCCAGCTCCTTCAGCTGGGAGCTGGTGAAGGTGGTCCTGATGCGCCGCTGCTTCCTCTTCTCGTTCAGGCCGGAGGGGTCCGAGAAAAACTTGTAAGGGACTGTAAGGGAAAAATGACATCCGTTAATGGAATAGTAATATTTGAACGTTCACCAGCAGAGGGCCTGCGTAAATGATGGAGAACCCGTATAACTCTTCAAGATTTTTTTATTTTTATATATAAGGTAAAATTATGCTTTTAGTTACTGGTTTGTGGATGCCGGTTTATTTTATTGACTAATTGTTTGCAGGGTTTTTTTCAAAGCCAATGAGAATATATAATATGCTGAATGTCCTTTCCAGACCACATTTATAAAACAATAATGAAAATGCTGATCGCTGGTTAACTCCTACTTTTTTACATACTTATTTGTTTTTTTTATACAGCATAATGTAGCCAAATTTAGTCTTAAATTAATTACAGGCTATACACAACTATAATTTAGGCCTGTTGATCGGATTCATAAAATGTTTTGAATTCAAAGCAACAGTATAAATGTCAGTTTGCAATTCAAATCTATTTAGGTTATTATGGAGTAAGGTCACGGATAATGGAAATATCAAGAAACATAAAACGAGAATTTCCGTGCATTTTGAAGCTTGTTAAATGTCACATTAACTCGATCAGAAAAGAACCTCTCTGCTCTGAGAAATAAATCATTAGGCTTGTTTTGATGGGAGTGAGAACAGGGTGACAAATGTCTGCAGTTCTTTGCGGAATTAAATCAATGCATGCGATTTGCAAAAAGCAAAACAATAAATATATTTGCATAATGAGTTTAAAATAATAAATGTAGTTCGAATGTAAGAATTGGACACAATTATGATTCAGGCAAATGAACATTTTATCACCCAAACAATGTGTCCGTTAGGCGGGCCTCTGGCCAGCAGGTGTGTGGGATTCGAAGTTGTTTTCGATTATTCTCTTAGAAAATGTATATTATTATTATAATAATAATAATAATTGTAATTATTATTATCAGCATATATGTTATTTTCTTTATAAATTGGCGCATACATGCATATCAATGCCATTTCTCACATTAATAGACGATGTTTCACCT